TGCTAGAGACAGGTGATTACTTTAAAGACATAACAAAGTCATTGTCTGAAGGACCAGAATAGGGACAGAATATCCTGGGCAAAAAAAAATAAAATAACCCTACATAGTTGCTAAGGGCCGACACTCACTAGATTGATGGCCCATAAATAAAAACTGAATGACTAAGATTTGAATTGAACTTAGAAATCTATTGGTGATCAGCATGCATGCCATTGTGTCCTGGATTATAGTAATTGAAGTTTCCAGGTGGGTCTTCAAGAGCAGACACAAATAGAGATCTAATTTAATCAGTGTAACAACAGACATGAGTGACTATCAGTTAAGGTTGCCAACTGGTATACTAAAAGCTATGAATCTCCTAGACAGTCTCTACTTATTTTTCAAGCAAGAACTCTGAATCTAGGAGGCATTTCCAAATTGTGACTTTGCTCTTTTGGGGGAAGACAGCCCCATCAAGAGTAAAAAAGAAAAGAAAAAGACCTTGGAGTCAGATGACATCCAAATCTACAGCTACTCCATCTTGTTTGGGTTTAGTTTGAGCCTGGCTTTCCCTATCCAGGCCCTGAAAGCTTCTAGGCATTAAGTCATGACTTCCACTGTATTGTTCAATGGGCGCCCAATTCTGCATATTGATGATAGCTCAGTCTAAATTGATAGATGACTCTCCCAGAAGTTTCATGTTAAAGTTAAATAGGATTGGGAAAGAAGTGAATCCTGAGGCATTCCATATCAAAAGGCCTGTGAATCTGATCCTCTACCTACAACTAACTGGAATCACCTGGTCAGTTAGGAATAAAATGATTCCCAGTTGTGGTCTGGAAGGATATTGTGATTAGCAGTACTGAAAGGTGCCAAGAGATCTAGGAGGACAAAGATGTCCAATACTGTTTCATGAGCTTCTACCTCATGAAAGGGAATAGAGCAGTATAGTCCTTGATTTATGACAATTGAGGCCAAAATTTTGGTTGCTAAGTGAAACAGTTGTTGAGTGAATTTTGCCCCATTTTATGACTTTTGCCATAATTGTTGAGTGAATCACTGCAGTTGTTAAGTTAGTAACAGGGTTAAGTGAATCTGGTTTCCACATTGAATTTACTTGTCAGAAGGTTGCAAAAAGGTGATCACAGAACACCGCAATTGTTATAAATATGAGCCAGTTGTCAAGCATCTGAATTTTGATCAGGTAAACATCGGGATGCTATAATGGTTGAAAATGTGAAGAACGGTTCAAGTCATTTTTTTTAATACCATTGTAACTTTGAACTGTCACTAAATAAATGGTTGTAAATTGAGGACTACTATAGTTGTCAAATTTTATTAGATCTACCCAGCCTCCTGAGGAATGGGGGAATTGATACCTTTTTAAAGGCCTCTGGCATGTCTCCTTCACTCCAAAGTTGTTGACTACAGCCCTGATCTAACTTCCATTCTCTTCACTGGCTCCTTTATTAACCAGGAAGGCTAATGAACAATGAAATGATTTCCTTACAACCCTACTGGAGGATCAGGACTGAGGCTTACTACAGCTAATACTACTAATCTGAATGTTGCTATTTGTGAACTATTTCAACTATTTAATTAGAATACGACTGACTGCTACTTCATTTTCCTGGATTGTTTTAAATGTAAATAATTATAAATGATATATGTTATTGTATCTATAACATGTTATTATGACCCAGTAGAGCAGCGATGTCAAACTTCCGGCCCATGGCCTGGATGTGGCACGCACTGGCCATGCCCACTCACATTTTAGTGAAGGGGGTAAATTTGTAATATGTCACATGACATGACAACACGAGTTTGACACCCCTGCAGTAGAGAAACAAACTGATTTCATAAATATCAAAGGGAAAAATACAAACATGCTTTTTGGCATGGTCCCCACTTTCATGGCTTTCTAGAAATTGGTAATAAGCTGCTGGTGGAAGAAAGGGGCGTTGGTCCTACCTGATACGCCCTTTCTCTGAGTAGCTCCAGGAGTGTCCAAGAATAGGTTGTCTCGTCCCATTCTTGGACACTCCTGGGAGCTCTCAGGAGAAAGACACTGGAAACATGGGGGCTGATTGGAACGATGGTTTATTGGTGAACAGGACCACATAGGTTTGAGGTCCTGGGCAGCTGAACACATGGAGTGGAGAGTGAGAGGTATTTATACCCTCTCTTGGGCTTTGAACTTGAGCTTCCTGTTCCTGTGCAAGAATATGTATTCTATTGCCTGCTGTCAGACTCCAATGGGGTGATGCAGGGGTGATAGCTGAGGTTGTCTGAGATACGTTTGGTTGAACCTTGCTGGGTGATGCAATGTCCTTAGGAAATTTTGAAATGCAGTGAGCCCTACTGCTAGATGGGCAGATGGCTAATCCTATTATGTCCTGAGGGTCATGTCTTAATCCAACAACCCTGAAGGTCTAATTGTCTTGTAGGTAGGCTGGCCCAGTTCTGCTCAATGGACACCAAATATCTGCAGGGGGCAGGGAGCTGTAGGGAGCTGCTCTTTGTCTTTAAAAACACATTTCTCCTTTTCTAATCCAGGGAAATATAATATTCTGCCTTTTTAATATTTCCTAATATTAAAGAGAGGGGTGGGCGCTAACTTTCTACACTGCTTTTCCAGAACATCTCTGTGAATTAGTTGTGTAGTTATCAACACCTTATTAGTCTAATGCTTTGTATTGTGGTTATTTTTGTTTTATATTTTACTTTCCGTTAACACATTTAGGTTCCCATTGGGTTTAGGTGGAAATAAATCATATAAATAACTGGTACATAAAAGGATTGCCTTTAGAAACAATATAAAGATACCATTAACATTATCCTACAGATTTTGTTAGTTGTAGTTATCCTTCAAACAACAATAATCTCTTGCTTACAAATTTCTTGTCTTCTTACCCGTTCTTCCAAAAAGGTTATGTGCTATCATCTTAAATATGCTGTTTTAACTTAGTTAAATCAAACCAAGCATTGCAGAAATCAGAAGTTTGTACAAACATATCCTAGCATCCAAGCATATTGATTTTTGTCTCTCCCCCCCTTTGAATGTTCCTGTTTAACATAGTAAACGGATAGTTTCCAGTTTGTATAAAAATGGTATGAAGTGTTACTATTTCTGTAAGCGTGCAACAGAAATATGATATATGCAAATTTTTCTATTTCAGTTGAATAAGAATAATGAATTTGGATAATACAGTGGCAGATGGATGAGAACATCAGGTACTTTCTAAATAAGCACCTAATATTATAGTATTTAGGATACAGTAGATAAATACATATCTACAAATACATAAATAAATATACAGCAATACAATATTTAATGTTCTAAACAGACGTTAGTAAAGAATCATGTAGTCTAGAATTATACTGCAATGTATTACTTGCATATCTTTCCCCAAAGTCCCTCAAAGTCAGAACAAAAGATGCTTCTTGGATGAGAAGGAAAAAAACCAAGAAAGTCCAGTTGCCTTGTGGAAAAATTACCTTTAGGACAACCATGACCAGGATGATTTGAGTATCTCCAAAGCTTATCTTATAGAAAATAATATTTATGAATGTTATAGGAATGATGAACTTGAATATGTGTAAAAATATACATAATACTATTATTCACTGGAGTATTAAAAGAAATGCAATTATAATACCAATGTAAAAGTTTACTGATCTGTTTTCATTTCTCCAAGATTTTTGTCACAACCCTCACTCTAATAACCAACTGATATCAAATAGGAACAGGCCATAAAGAGTACGTGCCCCGCCTGACCATAGCAGGTCCACCCTTTACGTTTTAAAACACACATCTATAATAACATACATAGGGGCATCTAATCATACAACCATAGTTACTCAAGATATACAGGTAGTCCTCGACTTATGATCACAACTGAGCCCACAATTTCTGTTCTTAAGTGAGATATTTATTAAATGAGTTTCACCCCATTTTACCAACTTTCTTGCCACAGTTGTTAAGTGAATCACTACAGTTGGTAAGTTAGTAACCCGGCTGTTAAGCGAATCTGGCTTCCCCATTGACTTTGCTTGTCAGAAGGTAGCAAAAGGGGATCCCATGACCCCAGGACAGTGCAACCGTCATAAATATGATTCAGTTGTCAAGCGTCTGAATTTTGATCACCTGACCGTGGGGATGCTCGCAAAGGTCGTAATTGTGAAAAACAGTCGTTAAGTCGCATTTTTTTCCAGTGCCATCGTAACTTCCAACGGTCACTAAATCAACTGATGTAAGTCAAGGACTACTTACCTGTACGACGCAACTGTGATTTCTAAAGTTTCTACCCTCTCTCTGATGAAAACGGGCTGGTTTTTTTTTCCCCTCCCAAAGCTGAAGTGATATGGCAGCTGCAAGAACTACTTCCTCAATGTAATCTGTAATCTTGCTGAGATAGCAATCCCTGGGCTGTCCACAGTCTAGATTTCACCAACCTGCTTACATATTAGCCTGCCTGCCAACTAACGGTCCCCCCTTCATACGACAGCTCCACAGGTGCCCCATTAACCAACAGCGCTGGTCCACACAGGCAACCTAATGCTTTTTCGGCGACCCCACCTCCAAATACTTTATTTTCAGAACCCCCCTCGACCACTTTCTCTTTCCACGGCCCCTCCCTCCCTCCCGTGGGTCCTCCCCTTCTTTCGTCCCACCGCCACCTCGGTCCTTCAGGGGTCGCCCTTCATTCCTCCTCCTCCTCCCGGTCCCTTTTTGTCAGACTGGTTTCTTCTTTGAGGATCTCCCTCTTTTCTCGAGCCTTCCCTCCCGCCCAGAACCGGGAAGACGGGGTGGGATGAGTGGAGGGGGAGAGAAACCCCCTCCCTTCCCCGACTCCTCCATGAGGATAAAACCGCCAGCAGGCCGAAATACTTACGTGATCGGCGCTGCTGTTGGCGCTGTAATAACAGACCGAACTGAAGGTATAGCCTGAAATGGAAGCCGCCATGATGGAGCCCCACCACCTCCGACGACGAACGATCCCACAAGCCACCACACCCGCAACCTCCCCGGCTCGGCTCGCGCCTCCAGTTCCGGCCAGCGCGCGCGCGGCTTCTTGGGAAACGTAGTTCGTAATTGGCAAACGCAAGTCCGAGGGCCACCGAGACGGCCTGAAATTGGAGTATAGTTCGAAGCCAGTACCTAAAGCAGTGTTGTTGTTGTTGTTATGATGATCATCATCCCTTGCATAGAGAATATTTGGACCCAATTGTTACAACTTGGGTAGGTAATTCTTTTAGGTTCCCTGTAGAAAATCGCCTCTTTGTAGTTGTCGTTTTTGGTCCGAAGCATTTTAAGCACGGCTCCTTCTCTTCGGAATGGCGTTAACTCATCTTTTTTAATGGACGTAACTTCATCTTTTTTAATGACTGCAACTGTAACTGCGGAGACAGCCGCGGCTATTGATTTGCCCGGCCTTCGCTCACCGGAAGAGGTTGAAAGAAGCGGCAAAAAGAGAGTCCTTCTGCGGCATAAAAGAAAGCTAACCTTGGACGTGCCCTGCATCTTTTCCGACTATGAGCAGCTGCGGAGAGGAAGAGTTTGAGCCATCGGCGCTGGGGACCAAAGAACAGTGAGTAGTCGGAGAGGAAGGCTCGGTTGGAAGCAGCAGAAACACCTGTATTAGTCACGCCCTCCCCGATCACCAAATCTAACACTGCTTCTAACTGTTGCTTTTAAGAATAGGAATAGGAATAGGAAAGAAATTATTTATTGATAGACTAAAATATATGAAGAAGGGTTGGAGGATTTGGGTTTGGCTAGTCTAGAGAAAAGAAGGACTAGGGGGGACATGATAGCAGTATTCCAGTATTTGAGAGGCTGCCACAAAGAGTCAATTTATTTTCCAAAGCACCCGAGGGCAGGACAAGAAACAATGGATGGAAACTAATTGAGGAGAGAAGCAACCTGGAATTGAGGAAAAACACCCTAACAGTGAGGACAGTAACAATAGCAATAGGATTTAGACTTATATACCACTTCACAGTGCTTTACCGCCCTCTCTAAGCGGTTTATAGAGTCAGCATATGGCCCCCCAACAATCTGGGTCCTCATTTTTCGACCTTGGAAGGCTGAGTCAACCTTGAGCTTGGTGAGATTCGAACTGCCAAATTGCAGTCAGCTGGCAGTCAGCAGAAGTAGCCTGCAGTACTGCATTCCACTATGCCACTGTGGCTCTAACCAGTGGAACAGCTTGCCTTCAGAGGTTGTGGGTGCTTCACCACTGGAGGTTTTTAAGAAGAGACAGGACAGTCACTTGTCTGAAATGGTATAGGATCTCCTGCTTGAGCAGGGGGCTGGACTAGATGACCTCCAAGGTCCCTTCCAGCTCTATTCTGAGTCCAAGTGTGATTGGACACACAAGGAATTTGTCTCCGGTATATAAGCTCTCAAGTGTACATACAAGCAACAAGTGATAAAGCATGATCATAATACAATAATCCCAAATCACTCAGTGATAGGCGTAAGATACTAAATAAAAGCAATCAAAATAAACTCACCAACATACATAGGCAATAAAGGGCAACATATCATCTAATAAATCTAGTCACTCACACCATCAAGAGTAAATCAATAATTCAGACTAATTGGAATGGTGAACCATGCTAGAGAGACAAACATTTAGTTGAATATTTATTTTTGGACCAAAAAAAAATGCCTTACTATATATCATTGCATTCTAAACAGCAGTGTTTCTGCACAGTTGTTAAAAAAAAAGAAAGGATGAACTGATTTTAAGGAAGGTGTTGGTTTGTTTAAAACTTTTATTGTTTTAAAGAGATGAATCACGTTTTTATTCCATCTGGAAATATTAGGTAAGTTAAAAATAATACTTACAAATGGGGACCATGACACGAGATACAATGTCTTTGGGTGTTAACCTTCTAGTCTTCTTTCTTGTGATACAAAATGTTCAAAAAAATTATTAAAAAATACGTCTTGATAAGTTGATAGGTTTTGTAATCTAGTATCCACATAGACCTTTCTGCCTGGTCAAAACATAATTAAAGTTCTTTCCATTTTCAGAGAATAGCTCTGTTGTCAGAACCACAAGCTACCGTGTTTCCCCAAAAATAAGACCCTATCTTATATTTTTTAGAACCCTGAAATAAGCGCTTGGCCTTATTGCCATGCGCTCAAAAGCCGGATTCAGCTTATTATCAGGGGATGTTTTATTTTGGGGAAAACAGAGTATATAATTGTTCATTGTGGTCAGTTGATTTGGTGTTTTGTAAACCCAGGAATTTGGGTTCAATAATTCTCATCATATTAACACATTTAAATTAACTATTGCAATCATATTGGATTCTTATTCTACTATTTTAATATATAACTCAAAGCCGTGAACAGATTTAATATTCCTGCCTCCTATTTTCCCTACAACAAATGAGCATTGTGTGCAGCTAGCTTCCAAGTGGGTAGTGCCTGGAGAAAGGCTGGGTGTTTTCTCTGAAGTTGGAATAATAATTCACAGATTGCTTGCTTGATACCCAGTTATGAATTTTAGAAAATAAGCTATTTTTTTAAACAAAATAACCGTACAGTTGAAAAATACTGTGTACTGCATTTTTATTTATATTTTATTTATAAAGAGTCTGTTTGATGAGGCTTGTTCCCAGCTCTGTAACTTCTTCCCGTTTGGTTCTAAAAATATAAAAGATAAATGATGAGTTTGTGTTTCTTCTGGAAACAGGGATACCTTTTCTTAAATTGTTTTACAGATGAGGGGGAAATGCCAAGCATTTACTATCATCCTTTTTCTTTTTTTCCTGTGTAGCTGGGATGCAACATATGAACAAGAACTGCATAATTTTAAAGAAAGTGGTGATACTGGGGATATTTGGCAAGTATCTATAACCATGTAACATGCTTCCAAATGTCTTTGTAATTTACTTTCTTTTTAAAAGTGCAGTTGTTTTGCTCAGAGTATTGGTAATGTGATACTCTGAGTTTTGTTGTTTAACTCTTTTCGTAGCTAAACCTGTTGCAAATTAAAATAATCATCATTTGTTTTTATGTGGGAAAAATGAATTACTGGCTACAGTATACTTGGTAAAGGTCAAGCATTCATATCCTTGATCTTTTTCAAAAATTGAATAAGTACAGGCAAAGATGCATTGCAGCCTTGAATGTATATACATGTCTGTGTATGTGTAAAATTGACAACTTCTCATCTTCTGCAATCTTAATCCAACAAACAGACTTATCTAAACAAACCTGTAACATGATCTCTAGAGACTGATATCATAATGGTGACATGATGTAGTTACATTGCATGTGATTGACAAAATGTGTTTGTCTTCCTTTAGCATAGCCTAATGCAGTGGTCCCCAACCTTTTTATCGCCGCGGCCCGCTGAGCGTGCGCAGGGGTGGGGGCACGGCCCAGGAGCTTTTGCGCACGGCCCAGTGCGCAAAAGCGGCCGGGGGACATGAACGCTGCAGCGCAAAGGCTCCTGGGCCGTGCGCTGCAGCGTTCATGTCCCCCGGCCGCTGCGCGGCCCGGTGCCAGGTACTCCACGGCCCGGCACCGGTCCGCGGACCGGGGGTTGGGGACCACTGGCCTAATGGAGTAGTTTATCTGAACGTCTCTCTCTAATTAGGTTTGGTGAAGAAAGCATGACTCGTATAATCAGATGGCTAGAAAAGCAAAAGATACCTCTGGATACTTCTGTCCTTGACATTGGAACAGGAAATGGCATTTTGCTGGTTGAATTGGTTGGTATTTGTAATATTAGTGCTTTCTGATGCAAAATGCTTACAGCTACAGTAGTGTAGCTTCTGCATAACATTAGCATTTGTGTTTAGTGCAATATACTGTTGACAATTGGAATCTTTCTATTATTAGGAACTGAAATTAGAAAAATGTATAGTCAGTAAATAAGCCCTTGCATGTTTTTTTTTAATTTGCAAAGTAAGTACTGCAGTTTTTTTCCCCCTATTAATTGGTACAGCTTGCCTAATTATATTTTAGTTCTCCATAGGTTAACTGTGATGAATATGTCATGAAAGCCAACTAGGAAACAAAGGAAAAGTATCTAGTGCTTAATGAATTTCTCTTCTCTTTAGAGTAAATCTGGTTATACCAATCTTACAGGAGTTGATTACTCCTCTTCTGCAATACAACTTTCAAAAAATATAATGCAAAAAGAAGGGCTGCCTTATATTAAACTGCTGGTAAGTTTTGCAATAAACAAATGAAGAAGATTAAAAATATCAAGAAGAGGGGGGATTCGGGGGTATGTAGTGTAAACAACAAATTATTGAAGACTGGCCGGATTGAATTGTATTAAATTTTTTCTTAATATTCATAGATTTCCTCTATTGCGCTCCAGTGCAAACACTTAAATCAATATGAACCAAGTTAAAATGTCTTCCTTCCTTCCTTCCTACTGACTATAGGGAGGTCTTCAATTATATTCATCAAGAGATTACACGTAGTCCTCAATTTACAACAGTTCACCTAGTGACCGTTCAGTTACAACAGCACTGAAAAAAGTGATTTAGGAACGTTTTTCACAGTTACAACCTTTGTAGCATCCCCATGATCATGGGATCAAAATTCAGACACTTGGCAACTGATTCATACTCATGACCATTGCAGCGTCCCAGAGTCATGTGATCACCTTTTGCGATCTTCTGACAAGTAAAATCAATGGAGAAGTCAGATTCACTTAATAGCCAGGTTATTAATTTATCAACTGCAGCGATTCACTTAACTGTGGCAAGAAATGTTACGAAATGGGGCAAAATTCACTTAACAATACAAAATTTGGGCTCAATTGTGGTCATAAGTCAAAGTAATTAAAATCATTACAACAAGGAACCTTACTCTACAACCAAAATGCAATTCTGAGTGATTAAGAGCAAGAAAAATTTTCATGTTATCAAGATAGGGGTGCTGTTAACAATTCCTACTGAATTGGCAGTTGTTTTAAAGCAGGGGTGTCAAAGTCATGGCCCATGGGCCAGATGCGTCACATGCTGGCAATGCCCACCCCTGCTTTAGCGAAGGGGGAAAAAGTTGTGATACGTCATGTGATGAAAATGTGATGCTGTGAGTTTGACACCCCTGTTTTAAAGAAATGTGAGTTCCTGAAGAATAATTTTTTAAGGCTGCAGTCCCAGATGACACCAAATATCATTTGGTCCCATTCTGTTCAGTTTTCATCTACTGATAAGACTGTTCTCTGTGCTAATGCAGTCAAGATTTATATATATTGGGTTGAAAGGAGTAAAAATCAAACATACATAAACAGATGACTGATGTGCAGTTAAACTATTATTCTGGGCCCGGAGGCAATGCAGTTCTGCTTGGTTATAACAAGTAACAATTGCATTAACATGTTCTCAAGTTTAACAGTTATATCTATCTTCTACAGATTGAAGACATTTTAAATCCCTCAGATGAATTATCAAGTTTTCAGATCTGCATCGATAAAGGAACTTTTGATGCTATTAGTCTGAGCCCAGATGGTGCAACTGAGAAAAGGAAACAGTATGTTAAATCCCTGCAAAGGCTATTGAGATCAAATGGCTTTTTCCTCATTACATCTTGTAACTGGACTAAAGAAGAACTGTGCAAACAATTTGAAGAAGGTGTGCATGCTAAGTTTCAGACTGTATATGCCTAACTTAAAATGTGACTTTGCTTTGTTTGTCTTCCTAGGAAAATACTATAACTCTTTATTTGAACAATGCATTCATTGAATTTTGGATAGTATTTATTTATTAAACTATTATGCTGCCCATCTTGCTGAGATGACTCCAGGTGGCTTACAGTCATAATTAAAATGATTTAAAACCTTAAAACAATAAATTAAAAACTACACATTTAAAATTCAGTTAAAATTCACTTAACCAAGATGGGAGGAAGGGAGCAAAGTGTGTATTGGGGAAGAGGTAGGATCTATTTAATCCATTAACCCCCTCCAAGATGGTAGACCCAGCTCTTCAACCCTTTCAGAAGACTGGATCTCATTTGCTTGAGGGCAGCAGAGGCTCTTCAGAAACACTCTTCTGCACTCTGTTAGCTGAAATTCCTTACCGATGAGGACTGCAGTATGCTTCTTCTGCCAGTGCGTATGGGGCAGGTTCATCCCATTGAGATAAGCCGGTTCCGCAGATACTATTATTGGATCCAATCTATATTAAAGCATTAGTAAGCATTCCTGTGCTCATCTTCTTTGAATTCGTAAGATGAAGGCCCATTAAATCCTTATTCTGAAAGGTTGATGATCTGAAGTTCAGTGTAAACTAACATCTTAATTGGTTTCCAAGTTCCTCAATTTCAGTTGAAATATGTGGCAACAGACATTTTGCCTTCAAAATAAATAGGATATTGAAAAATAAAGCATATATATTTGCCTTTAACTCAGGTGTGCTATTGGTTGCCTCTGTGTTACAATTTTAATTATTATACTACAGTAATGCATCAAAGAATGTCCGCAATCTTAAAAGATTTGCTTTCTATTTCATTGCTTCCGTAATACAAAAAATAAAATCTGCTTTTTAAGTGAACAGCAGCTTGACTCTGGCAAGGAAAACATTTATTATTTGCAGTAGGGTATAAAGTATGTGTAGCTCTGTTTTAAATCAAAATGTTGAAACCTTGGTCATTAACCTTTCATATGTGAGACAGAGTGAGGCTAGTTGAAAGACTTATTAACAAAAGCATTTAAGGTTTTTTAACATATCCAACTGATAGTTTAATAATAATCTATCCTACACATTTCTATTTGAATACTTGAAAATAAGATGTTATGCATATTCCTATTAAAATATGGCACTATCCCATATACTCTCTGGCCTCTTTTCATTTCATTTTCTCACTATATCAATTTTTCTTGGTCACTTGATAAAGACAGAAACAGCATGCAAAAATATTATTATTAAAACCAAGACTAAGCTTTTAGATGCAGGAATTATAATTTAGATTTTCTAATAACTGGTTTCTGGCTCCCAAAAAAATAATTTCATATGTCTACTCCCTGAAACTGCACTTAATATTATTGATAACCTTTCATTTATGTGCAATTTATATTGGTCAACTCTATAAAATTACCACTCTTCTAAATTTTGCAGAATTAGTTTGTATTGTATGCATTCTCTTTGAATTAATATAAGAATTTAAAGGATTAACAAGGCTTCCTTTTAATAGAAATATATTCCTTAAATTTAATAGGGTTTCTGCTTTTGGAGGAACTGTCAACACCAACCTTCTATTTTGGAGGAAGAACTGGAACTAATGTAACTGCTTTGGTTTTACAAAAAACATAAACGTTTTTGATAAATTTTGGGATGAAGATCTCCTTTTATGAATTTTGGATTAAAACACAAAACTGGATTAAAAAGTGAAATACAAGTTTTAGAAATTTGACAGATGTCTATATGTTTGATTTTTTTTTGTGGTAAATTTTATTGTAGATGTTTTCTTTATAATTTTTCAAGATTAAAATAGCATGTTAATTAAATAGTTCTTTTCTATTTGAAATACAAGATATTTAATTATGGGAAATGAATATATATAAATCCTGTGAAAGAATTAATTTATCATTGTGGTTGATGATGCAATTCCTTAAGACAGTTTATTTAGAAATGTGATAGATTGCTTGCGATAACTTATTTGATAATTAAAAAAAAAATGAATTGAATTTATACCTTGTTTCCTAAATAATGCAAAAACAGTTCCATTCTCTGAAGGGTAAAATAAGTGTCTACAAAACATTAAAATATTCCTACCATAGTAATATATAAGAAATAAAGGAAGAATAAGAAGACCAAACAGAGAAAAACTCTATACAATTGATTGTATATCTAAATACTATTTCTGCACCCAAGGCAAATTCCTTGTGTGTCTAATCACACTTGGCAAAATAAAGTATTCAATTCAATTCAATATCATTCTAAAAGACAAAGAAGCCAAACATTAATTGATCCTAGTTAGGAAAACACTGGTGTTTGTTTCTGGTGCAGCCAGCTGGAAGAGTCACTAATGACACAGATCACTAAGTGATTCAGTTTCACTAGATAGATGACTGATTATCACCACATAGTAGCATTGATATTAGTTTTCAATTCAGAGAAAATCAGAAATTGAAGTCTTAAACATGTTTGTGCCATATCTGTAAATTAAAATTTATGAACATTTTAGTTCTACAATACATCTTTAACTGCTTTCTTGTCAACACTTGGTGTCTTCATTGGTTTGCACAGCTTAGTTTCTAGCATTAAAAATATTCAGTATGAATAAGTAATGCTTTAAGGCAGCATATCCAGCAGCATTTGAATTGTTTCATATCTGTCAGCAAGGACATAATTGTGGAATGAAGGATCAGTACTGAAAAAAATGCTTCTTTGGAAATTTATGAGATACCAATTTTAATTTTAGAAAACCAACAAAGAATACATGTATCGAAGTCTGATATTCCTGGAACTATTTTATTAATTTCTCACAAGCTTTTTATGTTTTTGAGATGATACAAATAGTATGAGGGGATAAACCCTTTTCCCCCTTCCCTGGTCTAAGCAAACATTGTAGACGGTAAGGGAAAAAGAGGCTGAAGCATTTTTTAAAGTTCAGAACATTCAGATAACATTTGAAAGCAGCTCAAAGAGACATTTCCCTAAACTAAACTATAAAAAAGGAAGAGCAGGTACAGCACATTTGGATTTGCCTGAATCTAGTATAACCAATCTTGGCAAAAGTTTCAGCCATTGTATGGAATGGATTTCATGTCAGTGAGGCTAACAAACAAAATTTTTTAAATTGTTTACAATAAGGTACATTAGTTATGCAAGACTGTATCGTATTAGAACAGAACACAAGTCTATTTTATCTACTTAATTTTATTGTTCAGTTGCTAATTCGTGTCTCTTTGTGACTCCACTGACCATTTCTCCACTGTCCTCCACTGACTCTCAGAGTTTGCCCAAATTCATGTTTGTTGCATTGATGGCAGTATCTAACCATCTCATCCTCTGCTGTCCCCCTTCTCCTTTTGTTTCTTTCCCAACATCGGGGTCTTTTCCAATGAGTCCTCTCTTCTCATTTGGTGACCAAAGTATACTGACCTGAGTATTCTGTCCTTCCAAAAAACAATTGGGGTTGATTTCCTTTCAGACTGACTGATTCAATCTCCTTGCAGTCCAAGGAACTCTCAAGAATCTTCTCTACCACCACAATTCAAAATTATCAATTCTTCGTTGCTCAGCCTTCCTTATGGGATAACTCTCATGGTCATATATTATTACTGGAAAGCCATAGCACTGACTTAGTATTTTAATTTCATCTGACGTATGAGAAGTGTAGGAATCTCCTATAACTTATTCCTCTGTACTAATATCCAAAGTTCACTTTGCAACATCTAGACAGGAACTACTATCCCCGTTTGCTTAAATATATTAGGAATGGTTTGCAGGCCAGAGTTTGCTCTCAAATAAGTTCTTTGGTTTTGTTTTAATATAAAATATTTACTACACTACTGTAAGGAGAATAATTGATGACTTTCATATTGTATATATTAATTCTTTCTTAGAAAATGTTCAGTTAACTTCCACTTTATTTAAAAGATTTGTATGGCAGCTTATTTTAAAACACAACTCTAGATGATTCACAACAGTTTGTATTTTGAGGGCTTTTTCAAGAAGCATGTTTGCTTCTTGAATAGTCTGTACCTTCTGTAACTACTGGATAAAATCACCTATTCCATAAATACTCTATTACTTTGAAATGTCAGCTGTATAGAATGGCATCATGCAATTATTCTCTAGAAGAAATACTGAAGATGACATATGGCAGTTCTGTAAGAATGATTTGTACTTGAATTTTTTGCATTCAAAACGTGGATACTTCTTGAATATTTTTGTAAACAACACTTGGGTATGATTGTTTTGATCTATATTTTGGCTCCTGTACTTATCCCTCCTATTTTTCAGCAGTAGAAAAACATATACAGTCCCTGGCTTGAAAAAAAACCTTTAACTTTTTTTTTTACTTTTTACCGCTCAGAGTCCCCTTGTAACATAGATAAGCATTTTTAAAAATTTGATAAAATAGCACTTTCTTTTCATAAAAGGCATCATTTTCATTACAAATTAACTTTGGCAAAAGGTTTCAGGGTATGTATTTATTACTATTGTGTAACACTGTTGTACGCATGCAATCTACAAACATTTTAAATGAATGGTTTGACAGATCTATAATTTCCTTTCCCCTTTTTATTTTCTGTATTATGAAACGGCTTTTCTCACGTGTTATGAAAATAATAGGCTCGCTGTGTTAAATGTCACAAGTGGGCACTTGTGCACTGAGACATTCTCAATAATTTTTCATGCGCATTTTATGAATACAAATGTCCTAACTGCAGATATCCCTGTATCTTATGAACAATAAGTTACCAGTTCCAATTTAAGATGAGTAAATGTACTTTTAACTGCATAGAGATTGATAAATAACAGATAAATTTGACATATAAAATTCTTTCCACAAACTGTAAAATCTGTTTCTCCTCCTTGAGCAGGGGGCTGGACTAGAAGACTTCTAAGGTCCCTTCCAGCTCTATTCTATTCTATATTCTATTCTCTTTAACCCTGATTCCTAGTATTTCTGGTGTTTTAGATCTGTGTTATTGACAAACCATTAATATTGGAATGATCATTTAACAATTTAGCTGATTTATTTCTTAAACCAGAATTGTCTAGTTTATAACAACGCGAAGTGAAAACCACATTGTGACTTACATGTGAGTTTCTAATCATTATCAATGATTCAAGCTAGGTTGCCTTTAATTGCAGATTGTTGTGAATATAATATATATGAACATACTTGCTTTAGATATAGACTATATATATCAGCTTCTTTTTAACTGATTTTTAGACAGCCCTACAGACCATTATATGTATTTTGAGATGTGACAGAGTGAGGCTGTCAGAGAAAGACATTAGATGCAGGAATACTACAAAAAAGGATGAAGACATGTTGTTGTTGTTAGTTGCAAAGTCATGTCCAACCCATCGCGACCCCATGGACAACGTTCCTCCAGGCCTTCCTGTCCTCTACCATCCTCTGGAATCCATTTAAGCTCATGCCTATTGCTTCAGTGACTCTATCCAGCCACCTCATTCTCTGTCGTCCCCTTCTACTTTTGCCCTCAATCTTTCCCAGCGTTAGGTTCTTCTCCAATGAGTCCTTCCCCCTCATTAGGTGGCCGAAGTATTTCAGTTTCATCTTCAGGATGTGGCCTTCTAAAGAGCAGTCAGGGTTGATCTCCTCTAGGACTGACCAGTTTGATCGCCTTGCAGTCCAAGGGACTCGCAGGAGCCTTCTCCAGCACCATAGTTCAAAGGCCTCAATTCTTTGGCGCTCAGCCTTTCTTATGGTCCAACTTTCACAACCATACATTGCAACTGGAAAAACCATATATGCACTTTTGTTGGTAGGGTGATGTCTCTGCTTTTTAGTATGCTGTCTAGATTTGCCATAGCTTTCCTCCCCAGGAGCAAGCGTCTTTTAATTTCTTGGCTGTAGTCCCCATCTGCAGTGATCTTGGAGCCCAGGAAAATAAAATCTGTCACTACCTCCATTTCTTCCCCATCTATTTGCCAGGATGAAGACATATATAGAGATCTAAATGGAAGCATTTGGAAAAACAAAAGAAATTGCAACCTATGCCTGCTTTCATTTGGATTTACAAAGCACTATTCAAAAATATTTCTCATTGTAGGTTTTATCATAGTCATAGAAGGCCTTGCATTATTGAACCCGAGTGGATAAACTCAACAGATAACAGCTGGCCAATTCCTTCAGGTTTATCATGGAAATGATAAATGCCTCCGTAAGAGAAGGGTGTCGTAACTGTAAGGATAAATTATGACAGGTCTTTAAAAGTTAACCTTGCCCTGACATGGATAATTGTACTAGCTGTGGGCTTACAGGAAATACTCTTTTCCTGGGCAAGGTGCTTTGCCAGATATAGCTGCAAATAAAATTCAGTCATTCCAGAGAATCAGTTTCAAGCCTGCTTTTGATTTAGCATTAATCATGGTCACTGTGATAATCACCAATGCTATAGGACGGATTTGAGGAGAATCGTGTTAGCTATTGAATGTTCTAAATCTATGCAGCTTGGCCCGCATGGCCTGGAATGCAATGTACTTCAGAAAAGCAAAGAATAATAATTACTGTGCACTGCAGAGCTATCTGTGAGTGACAATATACATGGCCTTCATGTCATACTGACTATCAGCTGAGATTAATTCACCAGAGGCAACATTTTTTGGACAGATTGCCTAGCTCTAATTATCCATCCTGTAATCTCTAGGCTACAGCTGGAACATTTTATACATAAAGTTATCTTTTAAGAAATTGCAATTTGAAATATAGATATTGGCCTGCTGTGACTAACATGCTGGGATACCACGTCTTGTCAGTGTTTAAGATTAAGCAATTGAAATGGCTTCCAGTTAATTTCTTGCCTATAATTCAATATACTGGTGCTTCTTTTCAAAGCTGTTTGCAATTTAGAATATTTGAAGGATCATCTATAGCTATATTAGCAGAGAGATATTTACTTTTCTATACATTAAGATCATATTTATATCCCTGCCATCCAAGGTAAATCAGATAGTATCAATAGTGATATTCTGAGTACAGAATGCTATTCCTAAACAACATATTCAAGTCTTATTTTATCAGATGAAAATAATTCCAATTTTCCAGGTCTTTTTAGTTTCCCCCCCTCTAAAATTGGTTTTGTGCCTTCATTTGTATTTCTATTTAAGATGTAGTTTCAATATGGTGACTGTTTTGTGTTTATGGTTAGCTTTTGTTTTAATATATACTTGTCAAGAGGAGAGATTCTTTGATGAGAGTGGTATACATAATAAATAAATGAATGACATTCTTGTTGTGAAAAGCTGACTTTTTGGAGTTATTTGGAGTACCTTAAAATATAACTTGACAAAGGCAACTATGCAATTCATCAAAATTAACAGTTTATTATTATCCTATGATGCTATGCACTTCCAAACATGGATTATTAAAAATGCTAATTATAGATGTCACCTTCATTACTTTAAACCTGGAATATCAGATTTTTACAACCATTAAAGTATGTATCTGTCCTCTCTTTGACCTAAATCTTGCTTTCTTATATAAAATGGATCACAAGACCAAAAAAAAAGTGAGTTCTATCTTTTTCTTTTTGTCCCAATCTCTATTTTACTAGAATTCTTCTGAACTTTATTCATATTACAAATATTTTTAAATGGTGATACCATTACAGACTGCTAGATAAAACCAAATGGATTAGAGGATTAAGTATATTTGAAATTTGTAAAGGAGCTTCAGCTTTCAATTACCAATACAGCTATTATATTTTAGGTTAACTTTAACTAAGGAAAAATTGTTTTAGCAACAATTAAAAGTGCATAAAAAACCTCAGGCAAACCAAGTTTAGAATTTCCTCCAAATAATCCTATGGATTTTATTTCTCAGACTGTTCAATCTGGACAACAAATTTAGGTATATGTTATGTGCAAGGACTCCAAAGCTATAATTTCAAGTGCTTTAAACACGGAAATCACCACATATGTTCTTTTCTATATTAAATCAAACATATTAGATGTAAAAGGGATAATTTTGCTATGCAGGATGCCTTTTCTTATGAATTCACACAAGTAACATGGCAAGAGCTGATCACATACAGACTGCAAATAACTAAGTGGAGAATTAATAATAGTAGTTCTACTTATTAAAAATGCTCACTGTATCATTAACTTCAATTTATCTAATGCTTCTGCTTTTGTTAAAACCTATAGAATTTAATTACAAAAACTATAAATATTGACCCCTTGAATTTAATGGTGTTCTAGAACCCTCATGGAAGAGAAATATTCAAACGTGTGCTAACACTGTGTAGTCATCTTCAGATTCACAAGATAAGAAACATTTATTGTACTAATAAAAGGAGTATAAGCATCTGGGGACCTTCTTTTCCAAGTCAACAGTTTATTAAGGCATCAGTACATGCCAGTAGGAGTCACTCTAAGCTTAACAGAAAATTTAAGAAATTAAAATATGGCATATTTGCATCCAATGCATTAATTTTAATAAAATAGTTTTCCTGCTTAAAGAGCACCAGCACTCGAGTTTCTTAAAACACAGCTGCTTTCTAGATAACTACCCCACAATAGAATTATTGTAAGCTAATTCGTTTATTAAGTTCTGAAATTACAAAACATTTAGTTATAGGGATATTGGACAGATTTGTTGGACTAAACTGAAATTCGAATGTAAGACACAACACGTACCACACACATCTCACCAAAACGATTTAAACATAGTACAGATAGGTTTGATTTACCACAGCAGTATGACGTGACACGTATTTTACATTACATCGATTTCTCATGTGCCTCAGACTTCTGAATATCTTCTAGGACAGAGGTCAGCAACCTGTGGCCCTTTCATCCCTCTGCTGCGGCTCCCTGTCGCTCAAAATAGGCATCGCAACCGCCAATGTGCGACACCTGCCGGCATGTGATTTATTGAGCTTTTCGACCCCCAGTAGGCCAACCATGGATAAATCCAAGAAAAATTTCAGAAGAAAATGGCTCTTTGAGTGTTTAAGGTTGCCGACCCCTATTCTAGGACATAAGGGGTCTGAAGTTCATATCTTTTTAGTCTCTCCAGGAAAGATACACAAATATTTGGCCAACTCTGAGGCAGCAATGTGGTGGTTTAAAGCAGGGTAGTGGATTAAATGAATCCTGATTCAAGTGCATTCTCAGTAATGGAAATTTACTAGATGCCTCAATACTACTTTCTAAGCTCAAGGCTTGCTATTGGAAGTTACATTCCAATGAAATGTGCTCTGAGTTTCTGAAGGAAAGATGGGATGTATATTATCAGATTTACATCTAATAATGCATTGACCTTTGACTCGATCAAAATTTATTTACAATCCAAGACAGAGTGGTATAGAGAACTTAAGTATGTATATTTTTCAACGCGTACAATTATTGTACAGGTAATCCTAGACTTACCACAATTGAGTCCAGAATTTATATTGCTAAGTACAAAATATGTTAAGCGAGTTTTGCCCCGTTTTACCTTGCCCCATATGTTAAATGAATCCCTGCAGTTTTTAAATTAGTAACATGGTTGTTAGGTGAATCTGTCTTCCCCATGTACCTTAATTGTCAGGGGGAATCACATGACCCGGGATACTGCAACCATCATAAAAATGAACCAGTTGTCAAGCATCCGAATGTAAATCATGTGCAACGGTCACAAGTGTGGTCATAAATCCCATTTTTCCCCCAGTACCATTGCAACTTTGAACAGTCACTAAATTAACTGATGTAAGTCGAGGACTACCTGTATTTTCAACGCTTTGAAACTTCAAAAGTCTGGCTCAATCCCAACAGGTACCATCTCCCTCACCAAGCTACCATGCAGCCTTCTTTCAAGTAAGGCTAAACAACCAGGTCCCAGCGGTTCTGCGCACACAACACACTGGTGTCTGTAGAGATTCTCAGTCATCCAGGTCCTGGTTGTTCCAAAGGTGCTTTTTCAGGAGGCAAATGGACTTTGTTTTTTCTTTGAATACATTTTGCTTCTCATCCAAGAAGCTTCTTCAGCTCTAACAGGATAGTGGGGAATGGAAGGATTTATCTTCCTTGCAGACAGTTGGTCTTTAAGAGCCTTGGTGGTGCAGCAGACTAAAGTGCTGTTAAGTAGCACTTAGCTACCAGCTGCCTGCAATTACTGCGAGTTCAAATCTCACCAGGCTCAAGGTTGACTCAGCCTTCCATCCTTCCATGGTAGGTAAAATGAGGACCCGGATTGTGGGGGCAATAAGCTCACTGTATAAAAAAGAACACCGCTTAGGGCCCCCCAAAAACCCTACTAAGCAGGTATATACAAAAGTATGAAGGCTATTGCTTAACGCATTGTAAGCCGCCCTGAGTCTCCGGAGAAAGGCATATAAATCAAATAAATAAATCAATAAATAAATTTTGCATCCTTTTTAGAGGGTCGTTGAAGGACTTGGAGGTTTATCTGTGTCCTCAGGGTTACCCAAATAGATCTCCTGGTTCCTGTTCCTGTTGCTCCTGCAATTTTTCCTCTGAAAATTCATTTCTACTCCCGTACCAAAGAGTGATCATCCCAAAGAGCATGGCTAAGAGTCAATGGAGCTTCTCAGTCATCCAGGTCATGGTTGTCCCAAAGGTGCTTTTTTCAGGAAGCAAGATAGCTGGTCATTTGCATCCTTTTTAGAGGTTCGTTAAAGCACTTGGAGCTTTATCTGTGTCCTCAGGGTCACCTGTAGTCTGCAATATTTTTTCCCCTCTGGAAATCCATTTCTACTCCCACACCAATGGATAAAATTACCATAAAATGGTAATGTAAATGACCAGCTGTCTGCAAGGAAGATAAATCTTTCCATTCCCCACTTATCCTGTCAGAGGTGAAGAAGCTTCTGGGATGAGAAATCAAACGTCTTCAAAAGAAAAAAACAAGGAAGTCCAGTTGCCTCCTGAAAAAAGCACCTTTGGGGCAAGCATGACCTGGATGACTGAGAATCTCCATAGACTCTTAGCCATGCTCTTTGGGATGATCACTCTTTGGTATGGGAGTAAGACTGGATTTCCAGAGGAAAAATTGCAGACTACAGGAACTGGGAGCACTATTCAGGTAACTCTTAGGACACAGATAAACCTCCAAGTGCTTCAATGACCCTCTAAAACAGTGTTTCTCAACCTTGGAAGCTTGAAGATGGGTGGACTTCAACTCCCAGAATCGAGCTACCCATCTTCAAGCTACCAAGGTTGAGAAACACTGCTCTAAAAGGATGCAAGTGACCAGCTGTCTGCAAGGAGTATAAATCCTTCCATTCCCCACTATCCTGTCAGAGCTGAAGAAGCTTCTTGGATGAGAAGCGAAACGTCTTCAAAAGAAAAAAACAAAAACCTGGATAGCTCAACAGACTAAAAGCCTATTATTAACATTCAGCTGTCTGCAATTATTGCAAGTTCGAATCTCCCCAGGCTCAAGGTTGACTCAGCCTTCCATCCTTTCTAAGGTAGGTAAATTGAGGACCCAGTTTGTGGGGGCAATAAGCTGACTTTGTATAAAACATACAAAAGAATGAAGGCTATTGCTTAGCGCATTGTAAGCCGCCCTGAGTCTCCGGAGAAGGGCGGCATATAAATCTAATTAAAAAAAAAAAAAAGTCCAGTTGCCTCCTGAAAAAAGCACCTTTGGCACAACACGCTGGTGTGCTCTCCCCACCCCTTTCCCCCGTTACTAATGCAATAGCCATTGCTGGCGGCCCCGCAAAAAAGAGACACAGCCTTTCGCCTTCCTACAGCCGCGCGATTCGCACCGAAACGTCGAAGCCGAAACTTCCGCCGCCGCGGTTTCGCACCGTCCCCTCCGTCGTTCCTTTTTTTTTTTTTAAAGGTCTCGCGGAGAGCTTCAAACCCGGAAGCGACGAGCCTGTTTCCTTTTTCCGGGATGGTCGATTTCACAGCATTGGCTTTTCAACCGGGAGAGAAGGGGGGGGGAGGACGGTTTCGCCGAGTCCTCGAGAACGATCCAAAGCGGGGTTTCCATGGGGGGATCCTGCAAGGATCGACTTCGAAACTGGATTCCAAGTCCGAAGTCATAACAAGAAATGGCACCGAGCTTTAGCAATCGCTTGCCAGACTTTTTTTATCTCAAAGTCCTCCCCCCCTGTTTCCCTTTGCCGTTGGTTTCGTCCTGGGGGCAGATACTGTTACAATGTGTAGCCTGGGACAACTCGGGCACTTTCATTCCCTTCTTGGAGAGGCAGAGAGAGGAAGCCAGGCTCCCTTGAGGTGGAAGCTCTTTTTTTTTTCTTTTCTTTTTATCGCTTCTTTCCTGCTTTTCTTTTTCCTTCTCCTGGTAATTTGCACTTTTGCCTTTTCTAACTTGCCTGTACGTGGGGAAAAAAAAAAAAGAGGGCACTGGGGATTTCATGGGGCGATCCTCCCCGAGCGATCCGGTGCCTCCTTGCTGCTCCTTCCAGATCTGCTGTGCTTATTGGCATCCCGAAATCCACCGTAGTAGTGAGTAGGAAGGAGAATGACTTGATTCCCGTCGGCTTTTCTGATTTCATCGCTCGGGGCTGCCAAGGGGCTGGAGAGGGTTTGGAGAAAGGCTGGAGGAGGACAGAAGAGGCAGGGGGCTTGGGGGCTTTTGGGGAGGGGGGGAGTTGAAGAGTTGCCTCTCAGTTTAATGCACTTGGCATGTCACTGCATCGGTGGGTTTATTGACTGAATGCAGATGCTGATCAATCCTTGAGTTAACATTTTCTTTCTCTTCCCGGCCGTCCCCAAAGTAGATTTTTCTTTTTTTTCCCTTTCCTTTTCCTTTTTCTCTTTCTAGGATCATCGTAATTCACTGCGTGTTTCCCACTTGCGATAGGATCTGTCCTTGAACGGCTGTTAAAGTCATATATATATATATTTTCCGATACGTCATTGATTTATCAGCTGTATGAGCGGTTCCTCCCAGCCTTTATTTCTTGTGAAAATGAAAATTAGGCTGGCAGCGGGTATTTATTGTATGCAAATCTTTTTTTAACTGCTCTATTCATCGCAGGACTTGCCAGCGGTGTTTGGATCTCTCTGCCATTCTTGCTCTACAGATTTATCTCTTTTAATTTAAATCCGCCTCTATCTACATCTGTTTTCCGAGTTGGTTTGATAATATAGATTTCAATATGCATTGTATGAACTGTATAATGGTTTTGCTACAGTTGAATGGTAGACAGACTGCCAAGAAGTCTGCGTGTTGCCCTTTCAGCTTGATGTCTTTGGGAGTAGGTTACTCATACATTTAAGTAGCTTAACCTTCTATTAATACTTGCATGGACTTTTCTACTCCCTTATTTTTATGAAAGGAGGATGAAGTATGGCCAGTACAGACAAACAGTAATTTATATTTTACAGTTGTTAGGCCAGGATGAATGTGATCTTATTAAAATATTGTTTCCTGCATAACCAAATTTAAAATCCTAAAATGCAATAGTATTCATCTATGTCCCATACATGAGCAAAGGCACATTATAAAATAGTCATGAAAATAAACAGTTTATCTGTTACGATCAATTTATTTGTTTTTGTGTTTGTCTTAATTTAAATGTCATTTGCCTTCTGGAGCAACTTATCACAAACTGCATTTGATATTATGTAAATTAACCGTTTGCAGATATTTTTAGTTTTGGAAATAAAGCTGTGGAAGTTATAAAATTAAAGCAGAACTTATTCGCCCCCCCTTTTTGTTTTAAGGGGAAATGAATCATTGGTTGAGAAGATTTAAGAGTTCTAGTTTGACACCATGGTATAAGGCTTGTACTCAATCAGTATATAAGTTATATTCCGATCATAGGAATTCATTGCTTTGTTATAGAGAAGAATGCAAAACCATGAAAAATACTGTTAGGAACCATACAATCCAGATGTGAAAATGTTAATTATTTGCTTTGATATATAGTTATTTCACTACTGGGCTAAATTTCAGTTTGCAGGATTTCTTGCACTTGGGTATACAATATTGATTAATTCTGTGTGCTCTGCCTATATTGAAAACAACTACTTGTTGCAACTTGAATAAGAAAGGTAACGCTACCAGCAGCTATTACAATCTGCATTTAAATATTTTTTGAATGAATATTTAGGCTGCAGTCCTAAAATCACTTATTAAACAGTAAACTAGGAATTCTTAAACTTTGCAAATGCAAATGATAAATTTCCAGTTTGATCTAGCAGTGAGGCACTAGGCTAGAACGTGAGAAACCATGAGTTAAAGTCCCACGTTAGCCACGAAAGCCAGCTGGGTGACTTTGGGCCGGTTATTCTCTTTCAGCCCAACCCATCTCACAGAGTTGTGGGTAAAATAGGAGGAGGAAGGTGTGTTGAATATGTTCGCCGCTTTGAGTTATTTATAAAAATAATAAAGGCGAAATACAAATAAATAAAATTAAAATAAATTTGTGGGACAGCTCCACAGAAATAAAAATGCTTTCATTTCGGGCTTTGGCCCAAAAATAAATAGGCACTAGGCTGACCCTGGCAAAGCTGCAGTGCTCTTAGTATTTTTGCTCCAGCTTTGCTTGCCTGGACAAGCCCAACTGCTTTTAAAACTAATTGCAGATCCCCCTCTCATGAGCCCTGGAAATCCTGAGAACCCCTTCAGTAAGCCCAATTGAAGCTCAATGCAACATATATAGTAGCTTTCCCTACCAGATATCCGCTAGATGTGCTAGGATCCAACATTGACGATTCTGGCTGGGGATGATGGAATTGAATTGAAACAGTTATGGAAAGCCCACTGGAGAAGACACACATAGCAAGTTAGGGTTGCACATGACTTAAGAATTAGGTACATAACCACATTTTCTTTTAAGAGTAAAGCTATACTTAAACATTTTCTCACAAAACACCTCCCAATTGTTACTGAGATTATAAATTCCAGAATTTCAGATATCACAATCAAAGATCAAGTTGGCTTGAAATTGTAAGAATTACAACTACAGTTCCTGGATAATTATGATTCTTTTAGTTCAATCTCTTCTGTGGAGTTCTTGTGGTACAATGGAAAACCTAAAAATATAACAAAACCTGTGTTTAAAGATAGAACTGTATACTAGTGAAGTAAATAAAGTTGATGTCATATAGGCAGAGAACTGAATATAATTACAGACTCCAATAAGTTTAATCATCTGTAAGTTTCACTCCTGATTGATGAAATGCTACATGAAAGTTCAGGTAAGGCTTGAAAATTGATGAAGATTTTTTAAATGGCTAGAGCTCCTCAATATTGGGATAAGGTAAAGGTTTCCATATCCAGTCGTGTTGGGGTAGGAACGGGAGCTCCGTTGCATGACGCTCAGGTCTTGAATTTGGGCAGTCAGCTTTCCAGTTGACAAGCTCAGCATCTTTAATTGCTGAGCCATTGCACCCCCTCTAAATGGCATACTTTCATTTTAGTTCTCAATATTGTACTGGAGGCATGTTTGGGGTGCTTTCATTTACCTCTCCTCCAACTATATAGCTTCATAGTAATCCAAATTTTTGTGAATTATTGATTGTATGGAAAAATCCTATTGTTGTATGTAGGGTAGGCTTTTCCATCTCAATTTTTTTCCCCAATTAGAGATACTAGGAATTGTTTAGATAGATGGATGGATGAGGTTGCAAATAGAAAAATCCAATTACATGGTTTTAAAAAACCCATATTTGGTTTTATAGTTTTATCTCACACCTTTATCTGGATATAAGTTTCAGTCGCTTATTAAAAAAACTTCTCATAATTATTTCTTCTCAGTGATAATGAAGGTGTATAGTGTTTTTTATATTTAAATCACAATTTATTGTATAATACGTTGATAGAAGACGTGTTGGTTTTAGATTTAACCCAGATGTTAATGAATTCTCAAAAAACAAAGCGAATGTAACTCACACTAGAAAGTGGTTTTCATGTTTCATAAAGTAAGACTGACTTGCAGGAATTAGATTTCTAAAACTTCTCAGTTTTAGGAGCAGTCTTAGATTCTTGCTTTTCTTGATGCTTAATCACACTCCCTGATCACTTGGATTTTAACTTCTCTGCCTTGAAAAATTGATTTTGTCATAGTTTTTGATATTTGGGGTCGGGGGCAGGGGAGAGGAAATATATCTTGATCCAGTTTAACAAATTGTGTGCAGCTGTTCTATGTTTTAGTATACTGTGGGAATAGTAAATATATACATAGAGAAAAAATAATAAAATGTAATAAGTGGTGTTCACTTCATATTTATATGGCTGTAATACATCTATACTTCTCTGAGAGTTGCACAGTAATGTATTTTGGTGATCTGCTAATGGCACAGGAAGAGAAGGTTCAAAAATGATCAGTTATTTTTCTGTGGTTGTTAATAGGTAATATTAAATTGTGGAATGCATACTTCTAGTGAAGGACTGCTAAAAATCACACAGTATACCAGCCTATTTTAGTGGTTTGATTTGTGGGCCCAGGAGCTAAATGCAGACTTTCTACCTCTCTGTAGGAGTTCAAGGTGATGCATACTGAAAAGATCTTTATTTTGTCCTTGGGGAAAAAAATGAATTGAATGGCTGGAGAGATAGTGATCAGGCCAAATTGTCCAGGGAGAGCTTGATGGAGATTTGTATTTGGCTCCCCTTGTTTCCAATCCAGTCTTAACATATTGTATGTAAATGCTATCTTAATATAGAGATGAATGATTATTTAAGTTTAGCTTGTTTTCTTGTAAGATTTCTCTGCTTCTTTTTATGAAAGAATGTGATATATATTTCTTCTTCCTCCAGTAGCTTTTTTATTCATTATGCCTTTCAGCAAGCTGTTCCATTGAATAAAAAAAAATTAAGTGTTCAAACATCAAAGACTTGTGGCCTCTTGAAAATTAACAAATCCATTTCAGTGTAGGCTTTCAAGGAGTAGTCCATTTCATCTGGGCCATATAAGCTAATGCTGTTATACATTTGTTACCCTTTAAAGAGCCTCAAGACCTTGATTTAAATTTGGTACAATAGATTAGCATGATTATGCCTTTGGCTGTTGTTTAGTTCAATGAAACTGCCCAAGACAAATCAAGCTGCCACTCTTGTATTTATCAAGAATACACTGCATTTTAGATGTTATAAAATTAGTTCAAAAAGAACATCTACATGAGAAAAATATGGCTTATCTGCAAGGAGCAACTTTTCAGTTCACCTAGTAGAAGGGGTTAGTAAACTTTGGCTCTATTATGCATGCATGGCAAAACTATGTAAACTAGAATTTTTGATTAGTTCTCACTAGGAAAGCTCTAAATAGCCCTAAATAACACTCTTATAGGATGGAATGGATTGTCCCTATTTTACTAGTGATGATTTTGGAAGCAGCCTACCCTCATCAAGTTTTAATGATTTTTAAAAGCTGTAGATGTTTACTAATAATCATTTGTTCTAAAAATGTATTGATGTTAGTTTTGGAGCCTAACTTGCAAGAAGTCTTGGTGACTAGCTCATTGTTGGAAACAGAATGACAACTATAAGGTGAAGTAAGGAGAAGGGCCTTTTGCTCAACTGTCCCCTGTTAAAACAATTTCAAACCAAATAAAAACTGCAGTCTCAAAATGTGGCCATAGAGCTACTGAATTTTGGCAGCATGATCTCAGGATATTTCAGGACCTGCAAATGGATTACTGGGACATCTAATCTGCACACTATGTGTTAATCCATGGGTGGGCAATTAATTTTCCCGTGGAGCTACAAATGAAAAACTGGGACCGTTGTGGTGGACTGAACCAATACCGCTGTGAAGGTCTGTAGGAATGCAGCCACGCACATATGTAAATTTAAAAAAAATTGTCATAGCAGTCACATTCAAAATAAAAGCACGGCAGTTGTATTGAGTACACTTATTTGCATTTGATTTCTAATTTCTGATTGACTCTATGTGGGTCAGACAGGGAAGCTAAAGGGCTGGATGTGGCCTGGCCCTGGGGGCTGTAAAATGCCCAAGATTGGTTTATCCATAGAATTCATAGAATAAGTTGCTGAAACATCAGCCACTAAAAATTCCATTTCAAAGTGTCTTGCTGTTGCCTTACATTACAAGGTTAATGTTACCTTGAGTTCCATCCATGAATAACATAAAAATAAACAGTCACTTGTATGGCACCAGCTGGTTCCATTAGAACCAAGCAAATATAATTTGAACTAGTTTTGCATTTGCAAATTTTGTATGATAACAGTCAGCTCATCTTAAAATATTTGTTTCAACCAAAATCAATATCTGGAAGGCAAAAACTACTCTGAAGTGATGTTCAATGCTCCTGAAAAACAGAAAAAAATGTTAACTTAGCTTTCTCTTTTCTTCCGTTTCTGAAACTGAAGGATGTAAGAGTCTCATAACAGAATTATGTTTACTGGAGCAAGAACCAGGGAGGAGTACAACAGACATTATACTAACCAAGTGAAATCACTGCTGGCACTTCAAAAATATTTGATTGGGAAATGTTCTGGATATACTATCAAACTCAAAGCCATCCTAGTTTTGAACTTACTGTGTTAATACGGCTTGAAAAATATGAATACTTTTAGAATATCAGAGAAAAATAGGCTCTGTCTTAGAGGTTGATTTCATCTGTAGTATTAAGTTACTTTTCCAATAGGTTTGAAATTTGCTTATCAGACTGCATAAAGGAAGCCAGTTGTGGTTTGTTAAAATGACTTGGTACAGTGTGATCGGATGAAGCTCTTCCAGTAGCAGATTTGGGATATTAATGAAAAATTGATAATCATGCATTAGTTAATAAATTGTTTCTTTATTGCCATGGGAGGATAATTTTCTGCATTAGCTATAAATGACATAGGTCAACACTGAGGAATGTGTAAATGTTGATAATGTAAATGCCCAGAAGCTTTAATCATTTCCTGGTAACCAATATGGCTTGTGAAATAGAGATGTTACATAGGCATAATGACCCCTTCTTTCACTGTTCATACCCTTGTATTTTAGACCAAACTAGCTTTAAAGTAATTTTGATGGACAGCCCCATGTAGACCCTATTGCAATAACTCACTGGCAAATTGGCTATGGTATAACCAAGAGTAAGAATAGACTTCTTGGTCTAGGAATGAGTACAATTAACGCACTATTTCGATTTGTACAGATGTCTTCTTGGTGATGTCATGAAGCTTCTGAAGCGGATGTCACCTGCTTCTGAAGCAGGAACTAAGAGTTCAGACAGACCCCCAGGTTGGACATTAGCCCTGAATGGGGGGATGCTAGTCCATTCAGCCCCAAGGATGGAATATATCAGAATATTTAAATATTACAACTTTATTGACAGATACGGTTAACATTTTTAATGTTAAATTCATAGTTTCTACTTTATTTCAAAATTTTCCTAACAGGTAAGGGAAGACCATGATGGCAGTCATACCTACTTCCTGACAACACAAAGAGTCACACAGAAAGATCATGGGAGAATCTGCATTTTAAAGGTACAAAACATTGTGTAGCATGGCTCACTTTGCTTGTCTTAATCTATCCCAGCGATTTGAAAGATGGATATTGAAAAATCTGTACATTATTGGGGTGTTTATAATGAAATGTAGGAAATAGTGTGGAAATAATATAATGCCTTGTATTCCCAGATAAAATTACTATCAATACAGGAATTAACGCATATATTGAATTGAAATCTACTTGGCTAAATACCGTGTTTTCCCAAAAATAAGACAGGGTCTTATTTTCTTTTGACCCCCCCCAAATAAGGGCTTGGCCTTATTATCGGGGGTCTTATTATTTTGGGTTGCAGGAGGCGGCGAGCATGGGACTGGATGTCCCGTCGCTGCCGTCACCTCCCCTCCCTATTCTTTGCACCAGCCGAGCAGTCCAACACGTCCCATCTCAATGGCAACAGCAGCCTGGCTGCTTCCCTTCCCCGCCTCTTTATCAAGAGGGGTGGCAGGTGGGCGGGGGAGAAGCGTGACGTGTGGAGTAAGACGTGGCTCCCCTTGCTGTCTCTTCTCCCCCCCCTCACCGGGCATGACAGGGCTCCTGCCCCTCGCTTAGCCACCAGCCCCCTTTAGGGATGCAATTTGGGGTTGGCATGTGGGACGGCGAGAAGCGGGACACAGGTCTTACCTTTCAAGCTCCGTCGCTTTCCTCGCTGTTGTGTCCAGGAAAAGGTGTAAAAAAAAAACGTATCGCGAGTTTGAGAAGTTTGATTCAACTCGCGAGAAGGCTTTCTTTTACAGCGGGTTTCCCTGGACACAACGGCGAGGAATGCGACAGCTTGAAAGGTAAGACCTGCGTCCTGCTTCTCGCCTGTCCCACCTGCCATCCCCAAATTGCATCCCTAAAGGGGGCGGGTGGCTAAGGGGGGCAGGAGCCCTGTCATGCCCGGTGAGGGGGGGAGAAGAGACGGCAAGGAGAGCCACGTCTCACTCCATGTGTCTTGCTTCTCCCCCGCCCCACCTGCCACCCCTCTCGATAAAGAGATGGGGAAGGGAAGCAGCCAGGCTGCTGTTGCCATTGGGGTAGGACGTGTTGGGCCACTCAGCCAGCGTGAAGAACAGGGAGGGGAGGGCATGTCCACCCCTTTCCCCCCTCCGGCCTCACCTCCTCAACTCATTTTGGTCGTGCGGCAAGCAACCAGAGGAAATGAGATCGGCTGCACATGCATGTAAGTAGTTGGACGGGGGGCTTATTTTGCGGGGGTGGCTTAAAGTATCGCATGCGCTGAAAAGCCTGATTGGGCTTATTATCTGGACATGTCTTATTTTTGGGGAAACACGGTATTGCTGTTCACATTTTCCTGGAAATAAATTCCACTTAACTCAATGGATTATATTATGGAACATAGTATAACCCTGTGCGTATTTATAATTATTTTTAGGTTTTAATGATTAATCCAGTCTGTCAGTTTGTAAAACACTTCAGAGATTTTTCTTCCTTGAGAACTTCATTATATGTAACCATTTTAATTGTTCTTAGTGAGATTGCATTTCTCAAGTTTCACTGTTTAATATTGAATTTATACACCACCTTTCTATTTAAGTGTACAATAAATAAAGTTGAATTACTCTCATGTCATTCTCAGGTAGTGTTCTATCGCCTTTGAGGCATTACTAGATCAGAGCTCAGTTCCTGAATCTGGGTGGTCCTTCTGAAACACCTTTTACTTTTTTTAAAAAAGTATCTGAAATACCACTCACAGGATGAGTTTTGAGAATGGAATAACTTGAAGCAATAAACCAAATTAGTTTCTTCAATGCAAGCTCATTTTGAAATGTATACAGGAGTTGAATAGCTTACTCCTCTTCTGTTTCCATAAACATTAACGAGAGCTTCCCAAATATACAAATTATGATGTTAGGAAATGCAAGATTATAACGAATGAAGTGAACAAAGTTCAATACTCATGTGGGTAAGTATGCTTCATAAAGCTTTCACAGGGGAGAAAAAGGTTTGAATTTATACAGCTACAAAGGAAAGCAGGTTGATATCAGTACTTCTTCTGCAAGTTGATATCTGCATTCTTGATGGCAAGGCCTATCTCTGTTTCCCTTCAGTTGTTCTTTGGGGCAGAAGGATATCTGTTAACAAGTTCTTGAGTAGATTCTGTCAGCTTTTTTTTCTCCTTTGGGGTAGGTAAAGTTTCAGTTTTGTTTCAGTTTTGCTAACATTGGACTTCCTTCCTCCCTTGTATTGCAGTCATGATTTTCTTACATTCATTTTCCTCATTCACTGCCTCAAGCCACCAACTATCCTTTTGCATAATCTCTTCCTTTTCTTGTTCTTTTATGCCACTTTAGTCATTTCACAATATGTAGCTTACTGAATATAGGACAATATAGTATATCGTACATTACAGTTTTAAGGATTAGTCAATCTCAGTAAAGCTATACTCTACTATATCATTCAGAGGTAACAATACAGTGATCCCCCAAATTATAACAATGACAATGGCAACAATTTTAGCATAATCATAAAACCATAGCATTGAACAACAGAAATGCATTACATACCTTAGCAACAACTGGGGTTGGCAAATTGGTCATTAAGCGAAGTCACTAAGTGACCCCATGACTGTTTGTAATCTTATTTCAGCTTTCCTTTGTTTTCAGACCTGTAAAGGTCATAAATACGAGCATTGGTGGCGAAGTTACTTTTGAGTGATTTCATTTTGTTTTTTTAGAATTATGTTTACTTCCTAGAACTGCAACTGAGGAAGTGAGCAACCAACTGGAATCATCCATTAACATAACGCCACAACTTCTGGGGTATTCTATAATATAATTATTTTCAAACTGTTTCAAATAATTTTTATACTTATCTTTTCTTAGGTCTATTTTCCATTCATTTATTTGAGATATTAATCTATCTTCTGGTACTTTTTCATATATAAGTGTAAGATGTTCTGTAATAATTCTACCTTATTCTTTATTCAGCAATCATTTTACTTTATTCTTTATTATTATTTCTTTCTTTTCTTGATACTACAAATAATGATACATAGCATATTCAGAATCTCTTGTATCCTTGGCTAATTCTTTCAATCTTTTACTAAATAAATTATTTATACTTTTTAATTCATTCTCTTAACCATGTATACATAAAAAATGATTTATGTTAACAAACTGATCTTTTTCTAAGTAGATGATCACAGAACCATCATAATTCTTATTCTTTTTCATATTTTCCTGTCTCACTCGCACTCATTTATTCATGTTACCCAACATAATTTCATCCCCCTTTGGTTTACATGCATTTAGAATGTTGCACAATTTCTCACAGAACACATCGCAGATTCTTTTATTATCACTATTCACTAGAGTCGGTCATGCTATTATCATCAACCTATGGTTTCCTAGTTTCATAAACACTGATAACAACCTAGATGACATCAGTATATACTTTATTGTACTCATACACTCATGTACTCATACATCTGTTATTTTACCTCTTTCTTGCATAATTAAGCTTACACTTTTAGTTCCCTGCATGTACTCATCAACTCCATCCTATACAATCTGCTTATTTTCATTCATGTCTTCTGTATCATTTTCTTAATTTCACAGGTACAAAATATACTTGTTTTTCTTTAATTGATGCTTTTTACCATTGATTGCTTTGATTTGCAAAGTTTCAGTCTCTTAACACACCCTTTGGCCTTAGATATTGACCCCTACTATCTATTATGGTTTTGTTACATCAAGCCTGTTAGTAATATATAACAGGAATAAACTACAATATCAGTTTTACTCACCCTTGTACCACACACCGTCCTGCTAACTATAAAGGTTAAACTCATAAATTTTGGCTTATGTCACAATCATACCAATGCAAGTTTTACTTGAAGCATTGTCATGGTATTCTACACAAGCTAGAATTTATAATTCAGGTACTACCTTGCAAGCCAATATAATAACATTGCTCATGGCTGTCATCCAGGTGGAACATCTATTACAAAATTACATCTCAGTTTTTTACCTTAGTGTAGAAAGATTTATGTATATCTGGATTTTTTTTAAAAAAATAGTATTTATATCTATAGAGAACTATATAGCTGTGCATAAAATATACAATTGCTTTAGTCAACAATAACTTTTAGTTTGATATTTCTATTAGAAAAAAATCTTATGAATTGCATTTAGATTTGTGGAATAAACTGCAAAGCAAGACAACTGAAGTAATACAAGGTCCCCAAAAAAAGAAAAACAAAATAATGAGTGTTACAATTGATAAGCGAAGATATAGCTGTAGCCTTTTATGTTAGGACTTTCACTTTAATCTTCAATTCCTTACTGGTTCCAAAAATAGAGCTGGTCAAGAAACAGAGCAAGGACACACATCCAAAATTGGAAGAACTTTCATGTTATCCTCTTTTCAGAGGGAAAATATTTTTTTTCAAATTAGTCAAATTTTTTTTCAATCAAATGAGTCCTGTCTGCTTATGGAGAAAATATTGCTTAATTTGCAACTCAAAAATGTCCAGTACTGCTTTTTTAATGGAAAATTTTAGTTTATTCAAAGAAGGTTAAAATACAAAACACTAAAATATTTTTAAAAGAACAAAAGAAAAAACATAACAAAAAAAATTAACAAGAAAAACTCTTTTTTAAAAAAGAATCAACTAACACATATACACATAACATCCTCCCTAGCTGAATTCTGGTTAATATAATACAGCAATGTTGGTTTTCCACCCCTTGCAAAACAGGCAAAAAAAATTTTAAACTGTTAAATTTCTAAATCTATTTACAAATTGTTAGCCTGTTATTTATAAACTATTAATAACAAAATTGTTAATAGGAAAAACAATAATGAACATTTTGTAAATGTATAAAAGTAATAAAATTGTGAACAGTAATAAGACAAAGACAAGGTTGAACTTCCAAAACCTTCTGTTAACAAACTGTTATTGTAATCATCTCGTAGATGGGATGGGATGATTGGAGATAGAAGCAGTGGTGGGATTCTCCCAGTTTGCACC